CCTGTATATTAGTGTCCAAAGGATCCGATATGTTTACCGTTCTCATTGTTTTAACATCATTGCTAGCTCGCTCAATCTTCATTCTATTAGGTTGTTTGGAAAGGAATGCGCGTTGACTTTGTCTATTTATTTCTCTTCTACTATAGGAGATTTTTCAAAACAGTTTTGTCCATTAGAGAGAGGTTTTTATTGCGCATCTTTTGATATATTTTTTCTATGTCTACCTTGTTTTTTTAGAAAAAAAGTTTAGAAAATGCTCGACCAAAAATTTCGAATGCGAGCTTGTATGTGGTAAGACTTCAAGCAAGTCCTAACGACGCACTTGGGTGGACCTAATGACCCACTCGGCTCACAGGGGCAGCGGGCGGACCTAGCGACACACTCGGCGAGAAAACTGGCAAAAGAGGCTCTTTTGACCTACATTTCCTCTCCGGCGGACCTAACGACACACCCGAGGGGAAAAGTAGTGAAAGAGGCTCTTTTGGCGAAGTTTTTGCGTACAGTTGGCAACAAGTCATTGCTAGTAATGGAGATTATCTTTTAGATTGACCTTGTTTAATTTCGTTTTTATAATAAAAATTTTTTTACACTCAAACGCGCATTCCTTTCCGAACAACCTAATAATAATAATTTGGGTGTAGAAATAAGTGATCCTTTCATTCTTTTCTCGTTTTTGAGAACTGTCGACCAGTTTCAAGCGTCCTTATTTCAGCTAACCCAAAATATGACAGCCTCGTGGGCCTATCAATGTGAAGGTGATTGAAAACAATTCTGAGATGAAAGACTGATCCATAGAAGCGCAACATGGTAACATCGTTTGGTGCGCCATTCAGAGTGTCGCCAGTCACACAACTTTGGTCTCTTCTCCTATACATTGATTTTCTTTTCACTTATCTTGGGATTTTTTTCTCAAGGATGAGTCCAAAGGACCTCCTTAAAAACACTATTTCTTATTCTAGGAAAATTCTTCAGAGCAGCTTCTATTGATCTTTTAATTAAGTAGTAACTGAACAGTAACCGGAGCTATATGAAGAGTAGCATAAAATAAACAATTAAGCAGTGACTTCGGACGATGCTCTCATAAAGCGGTTAGCTACCGAGAAATTCGATGTCGGCATCGCTGAAGTAATGGGCATCTGTGGTCTAGGTGAGAATTAGTCAAAACAGGTTTCCTGTCTGATTTCTCATATTGCGAAAAGCTGCGGAAAGCTTGCTTCCTCCTCAAGCATAGGTAAATCAATCAAAAATGTTACAGACATACACAAATCAATATATAGTTTGTAACATCGCAGTCAGTCTGGGACGGCGTGAACAGGGTGAGATGAGCCCGCCCTCGGCTGCCTTGCTTCTTTAATGGGTAGTATTGATGTAGGAAGAAAACCAGCTGTGGGACTGCCGCGCATGAGGGCCGCTAATTGCGACCCGACTGACTGCGGTGATATCAAGCGTATGTGCACATGTTACATAGGAATGAGGGGAGTGGACGTTTGCACGGCACCTGGCACCTTCTGCTTATTAATAGCTAGAAAAATGCATCTGATTCTGCCCGGGGAAATAGCGCTCAGGGTATGTGTGAAAGCTAAACATACTGGTACTGCTCTTTCCCGGAAGCCGTGTCATCCCTAAGATCCTACATTGGGCTGTGGTCTTCCCAGCGCCTCCGCTTCCCGAGGTTCCTTTAGGGTATGGGGCTGCACAAGAAAGCAGTAAGACGCCCCTTGCTCATTTTCGTCCATCTAGGACCAGGAATTCCCTGGACACTGGGTAGAGCATCAGTAACCTAAGAGTGCCTTAGTCGAACAACTGCTATGACGCTCCTCCTAAGCTGCTCACTACACTGCTGACTGCTGCTCACTACTGTACTCAATAATCATGAGTAGGTCGACGTCCATCCAATATACTCCCTATCTTCTCCGTTCATCGATCCATTGGAGCGTTACGCCGAATCGCCTTCTGCTCAATGACAGCACGTAGCACGTGAGCAGTTCCACTCGTGGGTACTGGGCAATGGGCGGTACACATACATTTGCTCCATGCGGTTCCTCCTTCGCTGTGATGATCTCAAGAGCTTGTGTAGAAGATTTCGGTGTGAGAAGAATCACAGCTTGTACCAAGAGATTACACAATTTCCAGGAATATTCGAGGCTTTGAAAATTCCTTCTTCGATAGCCACTTTTTCTGGAGTGCATATGGACGCCATATCCAAAAACATTGGAGAACCAGTGAATCCGAGCTATGTTCCAGGCAAGTTTAGAAAGATTTCCTGGATTCCGAAATGATTTTGGAAATACTACAGTATTTATTCGAGGTTTCTTTGTGCACTATGTGGTCTGTATATTTGGTGCAATGCAAGTAGAAATCTAATGTTAGCAGCCCTTCTTAAGGAGGAATGGCCACTAAGGGTGATCGCATGAACTTCTTTGATCGGTTGAAAAACGTTGCTGACGTGCTTTTGGGACAAATGTACTTTGACAGCACTTTCATGGAGGAGACTAGAATTTTCAGGACAAAGTTTGGCTCACATTTCAAGGACCACGCGGTCAGTTCTTGTTCACACTTCTTGAATTTTGATTAATTTTGAACAGGCATGCCTGCATACTTCTCCCCTGTTTGAAACCAAGCTGCATCACAGTGCCCTTGTTGATGAACGATCAATATACCTAATTTAAATATTGTACAGCCGAGACGACCAAAGCTTTGAGCATCACTATTCGCTGTCAATATCGCCTAACGGCTAATCGGGCTGTATTTGTGGTATTAGAAGGCTATGGCAAAATAGCAGAAAATGGTAGATTAATGCCTACGTGGCGCAATAGTTAGCGCGGTATAATACATTCATCCCACCTCGGAAGAAGACGGCGAAGTTCAGCATCGACTAAACAACTACAACTACTAGAAAACAACTACGCTTTTACTTTGAAATATTTGCTTCTAGGAGTTATCAATGTAAAACTCAGGAACTGCTGGCAGATACCTCTTATGTCTTCATAAACTCAAACCCATACATAGATTATCCTCGCCCGATGCTTCACAAAACTGTTCCAATTGGCGGAATAGCTGTCCGTGTTGATTCGGCGAGAGACATGCTATCAAAGGTACGTTTACCAAACCCCACCAGTCGTTTTTCCCGCAAGACTTCACTTGATATACTCATGTTTTCATGAATGGGACAGTATCTTGAACGCGAGAAATACCAGTGTTCTTGTGTCGTTCGGTTCTGTGGCCAAGTCAGTTTATATGCCAGATGAGTATAAGTGAGTTCCTCCAGGTTGTCTACTCGAACACGTTCCCCCGCGGATGTACATTTTCTTGCTCTCACCAAGGAAAGGAGCCCACATTAGTCCGACTTTGAATGGAAGGTGTAATCCTGTGAGGTGTCCAACGGAAAAGGAGGGCTCCACCCCCCTTTACGCGTGAATACTTCGTAAAACACATAACACCGTATTAAACAACGAATAATTCATGCTATGCCAAGAGCAGCCGTTCAAGCTGAGCTTCAACTTTGCAGCTTCAAAGACTGCAATTGTGACCTTGAAGGCAACACCAAATAGTTTGTTCTTCAGTTTTCGCGATGGCCTAAAAGGGCACATATAAGAAACTAGAATCCAGTGTTCAGGAGATCATGCTCTTTTTGATTAGAAAGCGCGCCGTTCCATGGCTCTGTAGAACGGCTCCTGCTTAGCGAATGTCGCTTTTTTTTGCAAACCAAATAACAAATAAGAGCGACATTGTTGCGAAATCAGTGATCGGTCCTCGCCTTTCTTCTGCCGATTCTCAATGACCAAAAATCCTATAGCAGAGGCAAATATTAACTGTTCGTTCTCCGATAAGCAACAAGTAAGTCTTCACAACTATTAAGCCGACAATTCAAGATGATCCGCAGTCCAATGCATGTTGAGGAAAGCTCTTCTTGAAGTTTTCGAAAACATGCCTGATACAACGTTCATATGGAAGTACGAAGCACAAGGTTCGCAGATAGCAGCACACCTCAAGAATGTACACTTAAGCACCTGGCTACCACAAACTGCTCTTCTTGGTGAGTACTCTTAGAGAAAAATAGTGAAAACATAAAAAAGGCATGTCTCTCGTTCTCACCCACTCAGTTTGATCGTTCCTACTAGCTTCGTACCTTCCTTTAGCTGCCATTCATCGGCCTTTTTCCTCTCTGGAACGCCCGATCAGTTTGCCTTTTTTATTCACAAGTTGACAACTTGGCTCAAACGTTAGTGGGCCCGCATGAACAAGTCAATCTCTCGTGAAATCTGAATAATGCTCGCAATTTTTCATGCTAAGTGTTCTCAAACTGATCCTAGACCCATCTGAGAACAAGATATAATCGCGACAAAGGTTGGGTATTAAATGTGGTATATAAGGTAGAGTGTCGAAGCTGTTGAGCGTACAAAAGCGGAAAAATTCAGCTGATCCTCGCTTGACCGCCTTTATCACTCACGGAGGTCTGGGAAGCACCACGGAGCTTGCACACTTGGGTAAACCAGCCATACTAGTGAGTTGATGAAGGCTTTTTCATTGGGAGACTCCAAATAAATGAAAGCTCTGGGAGATGAAATATCAAGCATAATATTCGAGGTACCAATCTTTGCTGATCAGACAAGAAATGCCAATATGGTCGCCAAACATGGTGGAGCTGTAGTTGTGACAAAATCTGCACTGAAGTGTCCAAAAACGCTCAAGGAAGCTCTGAAAAGAACCCTTTATGATCCGAGGTTAGAGCTTGACTCGCTTCGAAGGAAAAGCCACTGAGCGGTTTTGGCATTTTGCAGAGCTAAGAACTGTTACAGCTTTGCCGATAGTGCCAAGCGACTGTCGCAAATGCTTCTGAATCAGCCAATTAGTGCAAAGCAGCTCCTCGTCAGACACAGTGAATTTGCTGCCAGGTGAGTTGATGACTTTTTACACAGTAAAGACCGGTGAACATCAATGCTTTCAAACAGCAACTGGAAAGTAGTATTTTTTCATCTCTGGATAAGCATTTCTTAGTCAAATTTGTAATGGTACGACTCTTTCGACGCCATAGGCTCTACTCACGGATCGCGCATCTTTCTAACCAGCAATGTACGACGCCCTCACTCTGTGTGCGGAATGCCCCACCAAAAAAAGTTTGTCTTTTTCTCAGATTTGGACGCCTGCCGAACCTCGACCCCTACGGCCGACGTTTATCATTTCATGGCGTATTATTTGATCGACATTTTTCTGGTTGCCGCCTGTACTATTACTGTCATTGCCTTTGTTGTCATTAAGATCGTTAGCAGAATTTTCTGGCTCAAAGTCAAGAGAAAGAAAGAATAGATTTATCTAGTGATCGTGGGCATGTGTACATTTTCGGATAATGGGTAATAATGAAGATTTTATATTTGGCATCGTCAATAAAGCATGATTTGATCTGATACTCTCACAACCTACCCATGTAACAATCTTCATTGTCAAATAATCACTCTTCACAGTAAATGGCGAAAGAGATTGGTAACGAAGACTTTCGATCTTGACGATATCATAATGAACGAAATGATGCCTTCAGCAATGACAAGATTGTTCCACTTCTGCGCTTTCCAAAGGATCTAACAGTATCCGAATCATGGCCTTGTTCTTAAGGGAACTGATTCAGCTGATGCTAGTGTCGAGGAAAAAATTACTTAGTTGTCATCAGTCCTTTACCTTTTACAGGATCCCTGAATGGTATCGGTTGCCTCAATGTTCTAGTTAACGTTGACGTTGAGCCACTGGCAGAAAGTGCTAGCGTTTCCAGATGGTTTCAAAAAGTTCAACGTATCAGAGAAACCTGTCTTTGTAAACAATCGAATACCCGTTTTGCCTTGTCGCTGTAATAGGCAGCACACGATGAGGAACCGCTCCTGGTAAAAAGTCCATCACTAATAGAATGTATGAAATCAAACTACGTTTCGTTGTTTCGCCCTTAGGCCGCTTATTGAGCATTTCTCACCCGTTTTTACATATAACGTCCTTCCGTTCAAAGCTCAGGAAGGGACATACCAGACTTCGCTACAGCTTTCGTGTTTGCATGCAATTGCTACTCCCCGTTTCTTTCACTATTCAATTTCGTATTACTTCCCTATATCGGATTTTTCTACAAGGATTTTCGTACTAAATTGCAGCTGCTACATTTATCAATACTTGTTACGACTATACTGAACGTGATCAAAAACTTGTTACCGTATTAGGTAAGTATTACGGTAATCGGTGGTCCAATATTTCTGGTTGATCTAACATCTTCATTTCACGCCCTCTTCTTTGCGTTACGACTCTGTATATAGTCTCTTTTCAACCTACTCTTCGCATTGATTGTGGTTTATGCATATTCATTTATTTGGACATGAGCAGCCATTTAGTCAACTATCAATCACTGAAGGGCACCAGGGCTGATTATCGAAATGGTTTAAGTGATGTATGGTA